TTATTATCTTTGCCACTTTACAAAACAATACATTTTCCCAAAATGCATACATAAAAATATAACATTTAGGCAGATAATTATTTACATTTGAAGACAGATGAAAGTTATGTGATAATATTAAAAAGCTTTAAAATAAATACTTTTATGACTTGCTGTTGGTAAAGTTAAACATTTTGGTATAAAGGCTATCACTGAGTTTTTAATAAATTCTAAAATACTATTATTTCTAAATAAAATAAGTCTATACATATTACTATAAAATGCATATTTTCACAGACTAGAAATTAAAGAAACATCTGATTATTATTCATCTTTCTTTGGAATTTGAAATTCTCTTCACCTTCAACATTAAATTACCACCACTAAAATCTCCATCTACATATTTTTGATACAGTGTATTGCCCAATTATTATTTTACAACCTAATTTATTTTTTCATACTTCTTCCTTAGATATATATGCCTTTGGGCCTGTCTGCTGAAAGACAGTCTCTTTTCATACTTAAGAGTATCAGCTAGCTTACAAAGTCATTACAACGATGATTCTTTTCACAGTAGTTCAAGAGTTCAAGGCATGTTTTGCAATGTCAAAATGCAATGGTTTTGACATTTGTAATATGTTCTTAGGTATAAGAAGAGTCACGCTACCAAAAGAAAAGTATAATTAGTATTAGTACTTTGAAAGTCAATCCAAAATTCCTTTTTTGAGATCTGAATCTAATTTTCTGTTTTTAGGACATTTAAAAACCTGAAACGCAGATCAAGTTTGAATAATCTTCTCCAGTCTAGAATCAGAAGAGTACATGAGCTTGACACTAGTCATTGTGGAAATGAACTAGAATTTAATATTTTGGCTCAAATACTCTCATTTTGTATAAAGAAAAGGGCTGGGTCTTTAAAAATATTTAGTTAATATTAGCCTATGGAAGAAATAGAAATATTAATACATTTCATTCTATGTTTGCATTTGTTAGACCAAATTTAGGCACATAATCCTCTCTTTACAGGCAAAGTCAATAGTTAGCTCCATGCATAGAATGAAAACTGTGAGGAAGATTAGGGTCCATGTGCCTTGCTGCAGATTCTCTAGGTTGAAATTAGGGTCCATGTACCTTACTGCAGGTTGTCTGGGTTGAAAAACTAAACCAACATGATAAACATATAACCTCTCTTCTCTTGGGAATGCCAGGATGAAAAGATAAAGTATTATTTCTTCTAAGTTCTTTGTTCAATTTGCAGATGTCAAGAATTATTTTGACTTTTTAATTCTCATTTTCTAAAGATGTATAAGCAAGGCCATTCTTTAAACATAGATAAGCAAATAAGATGCTTTTCTGTAAACTATAAAATTATCTGGGAGCCAATTGCATTGGGTTTTAGCCCCCACATGCCCCTCAGCTGGGAGTATTTGTACAGAGCACAACTGGGCCAACTGGATGGAATGACAGTGGTTATAGGGTAACCTCCTAAAGCACTCAGATTCTTAGTGGCCCCATTAACATTCAGATTAATGTAGCCCACAGTGAACTCTTGCACTTAAAGCTATTAGGTCTGGAGAGAAAAACTTCTTTTAGGATAACTTGGACCAATGATCAAGAAATACAATCACATGTGAAAATATTAAAATCTAAGATGCAATAAAGCTCATATACTCTCAAATGTATTCATCTACAACTGAAAGAGAAAAGTATCCTGGCAGTTCTATTATTATTAGGGGAATTTTTAAAAAGGGATTGTTACCTAATTTTACTATAGTATTATATTCCAAACTAATAACATAATGGCTTAGTTTTAAAAGATGTCAAAAGCAAAACAAAACAATTTGAAACAGCAGAAATAAATTTAGCAATCACATTATGGGGCATATATTTCAAATTGTCTTTCCCAGTCACTATTTCTCAAGTGGAATTTAGCATTAAAGCAAAAGTAGACATTCTTTATACGTTAGCTAAAAGCTAGAATACAGTTAACAGCTAGTCTTCTTAAGTTTTAAAATAAAGTCATCTCTGCCATTAACAAATACCCTACACTGCCGAATGAAGAATTACTGGAGAATTTATGAGGTGAAACTTCTTATACATGGGTGAAGAACTTAAAATCTTATTAAGAAGTTCATGGTGTAGCAGTTTGGACAGGTTAAAACATAAGAAAGACAGGAATTATAGAGTGATTTGGAGTTGATGAGATCTGGCAAACATTTTGTAATGCACTGAAAGAAGATGAATGCTGAAGACCAGCTAGTGAGAAACTGAGTGGGGGTTGGGGAAGAGAGAGAAAGAGAAGTCAGATAATATTCCACTGGACATAGTCCCAAATTCAATTATCAAATCACGTTTCACCCCATTCCAAAGTACAAAAACAAAGAATAACCCCTACATAAAGGATGGGAATGTCAGGAAGGTTCTCTAATCATTACTTGCACTAACAAATTCTATACTCTCTCAGTTCCTGAATTTTATCCATTAATTTTATCAGCACGCCAGTGGTTGCCTACTTAGCTTGACAAACATTCTACAGCTCTTTGTTAGCCTAGTTTAGTTTTTCCTCACTGACCTCACTCTGAGTACGTACATAATTTTAGTAGAAACACAGAGAAGTGGGATTTTATCACCATTATTAAATGGCACATTATGTTAGTGTGCATTCAAGGTAGGTTTAGATGTGTGCAAATTAATTTTTAATCAGTAAAAATTGGGGATGTAGCAGGGAACTGTGCTGGGTGCCACCACCAGGCTTTTATAAGAGTTCTGCTAATAACTAATAGTCATTTAATCTCTGATCCTTGGTCTCGTCATCTAAACAAAATTGGAATCAAGTTATAAAATTAATTGTTTCTAATTCCCAAATTCTGGTTTTTGTTTTGGGCTGTATCACATCTGAAATAATTTAGAGCAATAAGGGATTCTCTTTCATTAGAAGGCTAAATTCCAGAATGGTTAAGTTAAATAATAGTCATTTTTAAAATTAGGAACTAATGATAATGTTGAAAGACAGTGAGGGAATATTAAGAAAAAAAGTGAGAAAAATAATGAAATATAAAGCAAGGCTAGATGGAAAAAAGAAAGTCAAATATATAATTTCATTTAAATGTTTTTAAAAATGCCCATATTATAAACATTCTACTTAATATTAAAATTTTAATAAAACTTACATTCCAATTTACTTTTTTGTTATTTAGAAGAAGCTCTCAACATAAAAGAATTACTGTTTTCATTAAAATAGCAGAAAAACTCCATGTAGGTATTAGCATATGGAGCTAGAACAAAGCATTGTGAAACAGAAATGGTATGTTTCACAAAAGAAAAGATGTTTAAAATATCTTCAAAAACCACAATGGTTTCTTTCTTTTTTTCTTTTTTCTTTTTTTTTTCTTTTTTTCCAGACAGAGTCTTGCTCTGTTGCCCAGGCTGGAGTGCAGTGGCGTGATCTTGGCTCACTGTGACCTCTGCCTCCTAGGTTCAAGGGATTCTTCTGCCTCAGCCTCCAAAGTAGCTGGGACTACAGGCACATACCACCACACCCAGCTAATTTTTGTATTTTTTGTAAAGACAGGGTGTCACCATATTGTCCAGGCTGGTCTCAAACTCCTGACCTTGTGATCCCCCCAGCTCAGCCTCTCAAAGTGCTGGGATTACAGGCGTGAGCCACCGCGCCTGGCTAGTGATGCCATTTTAAGATACTAACACTAACCATTTCTAAGTAGCGTATAATTATGTGTTTGTGAATTTATTTAAAGGAATGATTATTGAAGACATCCACTGCCAGTTTTCATTCATTTGCTAAGGTTACTTTCTTAATTTTCCACTGAGAAATAAAATATCTATATTTTAAATACATTTATTTAGCCAAATACATTCTCATATTTGTTTCAATCAAAGACTATGCCCTAACAAGCAATTTTAAGTTGTTTATTCAAACTTTGTATAATGGCAAACATCAGCTCCCTGTTTTCAGGTGATATGCTAAGTAGGTTCCCTGGTACTTTTGTGCAGACTCAAAGATAACCCTGAGTTTTCTCTGCCCCAATGAGTCACATGGTGGCAAAACTCCAGAAAAATAGAATTAGTTTTGTTTTGTTTTATTAGTAATTCTACAATAGGAGATGTATTAAAATAATAAATTATTGTGGAACTTCTAACCTAATGAGTCTATTGTAGATTTTCATTTTTAAATAAAAGCTGATTTTAATTTTTTCAGATACTGCAACCAGGTTACTATTTTCATACAATCATGGAAATTTAAAATGCAAAGTTAATTGAAAGTATAAAGATGAAAAGCAAGTGCTATGCCTAAAATAGTGCACGACAGTCATGTTTCACTTAACTCTCAAGTCAGAACATAAATTAAGAATTCTAGATGTGACATGCCAAATATTTTAGACATAGAAGAAAGCATACAACAGAATCTGTACCAATTACAAACTTAAAGGCAAAATTTACAAGGCAACAAGTTCATGCTGAAATATTGACAACAAATAATGTTTCTCTTATTTTCAGAAAGTGATGCTGCATTTAAATCCCATCACCACCTTATACAGTACTGAAAATTTATGATAGCATTTTCCCAAGTCCTGTATTATATCCCAAAGCCAAAATATCTGTAAGGATTAAAGAACACTGATAATCTGAACCTAACCTAAGAAGAATTTTTTTTGCTTATAACAAAATTTAAAAGAAATAAATATTACACAATGGGACTCCATTAAAAACAAGATAAAATTTGACAGCATAAGTATATACAAGAAATCTGCCTTATGCTCTAAACTTCATTATCCTATTTTTGTAAGTGAGCATGTTCTATATATAATCCTGTTAAGAGTAAAGGAAATATTACAACTTTTAACATTTTCCTTATCATTTTTTGCTGCCCTACTCCCTTCTTAAAAAAATGTATTTTTAAATTGAAATATAAGACTATTCAGTTAGGAGTCACAGTTAACCAATACAAAAACAAGAAAAACACCTCAAAATGTACTAACATACGGATTTCTTCAGAGTGCAAGTTGAACCAATAAAATATGAAATTATATTTAGACACCCTCAAATAAGCTACAAAACATAATGACAAGAAAAATGGAGATGTTAAAACATCCTCTCTTAAAAATTCAATAAGCATATTTATCCAATGTAAATAAAACAGTGAATATCAGTCTTGTTTATTTGAGATGAGTACAATCATAGTAAATAAATAATTTCATTCTTATATATGCAGAAAAACAATCTATGAGAAATTAGTAACAAGCAAGATTACCCCTTCACATAGGCTCTTTTAAAAAATCACTTCACATAGGCACTTTTAAAAACCGATGATATATTTAGATTGTCTGTAATATCCAAATAAAGATACTTTCTAAATGTGTTGCAAATGAAAGCAATTTTCAGACCTATCCTAGAAACCCACTGTCAAGCAGAACTCAAGACATCCCACTTCATATTTTATCTGTCAATTTATTTTCTCCCCCTACACACTCACATCCCTATTCCCATTCCCAAATTAGACTCTAAAATCCCTGAGGGCAGGACCTATCTATCTTTTTATTCCCTCTCATAACTGATATTGTGGCAAGCAAGATATGTGGTGCTGTATGATTAATAAGTGGATGAGTGCATTAATGAGTATGGAAGTATCGGCAAACTCCATAGCTTTCAGGTTTTTTGCCTTCCTTATTTCAACTCAGTAAAATGAAAATGGATTCAGTAACATATTTCCATAGTGAAATGAACCATAATTACTAAATTGTACTCTATGAGAAAATACAGAAGCATATCTTTCAGAACACTATTACCCAAGCTGTGCTTTGCTTTATAGAACACTTAAATGTGGGGATAGTAAAAAAGTTTCTTCTCCTCTTAGTAAAAGGGCTCCTTCCACCATGGTCAAGTAATCTGTAAAATCCAGTTTAAAAAAATTCAAGTAGCATTTCTTTACTGTTATTGGGTTTTTTAAAACTGTAATCAGTAGCATTTACTTCACTCTTCAAAGTACATTATATGCTAACATGTACTATCACTTTCTAAGCAAGTATCAAAGAACACTTTGGGTCTTGGATCATATCTCAGCAGAAGAATGTTCTAAGGAATGGAGTTTGAGAGATGTTTTAGGAGAATAAAAGACACCATGTTAAGTCTCCTTTACCAAAGTAGCATTATAGATTTGAAGGGCATATGTAATGTCCCATTAAATATTCATTACTCCGTGTCCACAGAAAGTAGAATGAAGGCAAAACTATTATGAGCATTCTTCTGTACTCACTCGCTCATTGTGAAAGAGTAGAGGAATATGTATTTGCAGTTTCTGATACCCTCTGTAGGGTTTGGTTGTTATACTTCATTAAGACTTTTCTTAAATCTTCTCAAAATATTTCCTTGCTTCCTCCTTCCTATTCTGTCTTTTCTTTCTAAATGTGTATGTACAAAGGAAATGGGACCTCTGAGTTGTATCTTAAAGACATTTTCAGACAATGAATATTTGTGTTGGATTAATCTTTGGAAGAGTTCAGAAAACATTAATACTCATTAACAAGTGCGGTAACCATGATACTTCTGTGAGAAAAAATGTCAACAGATGCGGTTCTGAGATTTCATGCAGGTCCATTATGATTCTGCAAAATAACTCAGTATGCCTTCTGCATGACTAAACGACAAATATAAAAAGCTATTGCATAGGGAGAAAAGTACTATGACAATTGAGGGGAAAGCAGGAAGCTAGCTAACTCTATGATGTTTATTATCACAAGATTCGGACCCTAGTGCCAGCTCTGCCTTTAGCTGTGTGACTTTCGGACATTTCTCAGTGTCTCAGGATATCAGGTATCCCTTTTGTAAATGAAAGAAGCAAGTTTAGTGGTTCAGTGACTGCCGCAGTAGTGGATTATGAAGAGCAGGAGAACAGCAGAAAGGGAGACCAAGCACGTGGGACACCAACCTCACTTACATCTTCCCCTGAGCAGCTCCACTTTTACGTGTTTGATATATTAAAATTTAGAGCAATATTTATTTTTAAAAGGTCCTGCTAGTTTAAAAAGGGGAAAAACATAGATTACATAACCTAAATTTCTATTTAAGATAACATGCTCTAGTTCACATGTTTAATGAATATGCCTTCATCTCAGAAAAAAAATGTTTCTACATCTTTTCCTGGTCATTCATGTGCTCTTTTTTCAAGTAAAATAAAAACTTAGTGACTATATTATTTTTATAGAGCTTATTTTATACCTTTGTAATATATTTCTTTCTTATTAAATAACAAGATGAGGTGTTGCTTTCAAAGTAAAATTAAACATAACATAGAAATTGGATGAAGTCAACTCCTACCCATGCTTAACTTTAGAGTTATCTTTTCATGCTGCCTTATGGGCACTTAAATACTGTACTGCCTTATCTTTGAGGTAGAACAAAAAAAAAATGGCAAAAACATTCACATGAAGGGGAAAATGGAAAAGAAAGCCGTGAGAGATTTCTTTTTAACGTAATTATCATCATTAGGCTTTGCAGTCTTCTTTGACACAAAGTTGAGATATAGTCTTCTTAATACGAAGAGCAGTTAGGCGGGCTGCTCCATTGGCATACCAACACTCACGCATTATTCTCCCCATGACTCGGAGTGCCTTTAAGAGAGAAAAAAAAAAAAAAAAGACTTTAGCTATTCACATAAAACAGAGAACGATAGAAGTAAAGTCATAAATCCAGGAATTGATGCTAGCTTTAAGAGATGGGGTCTTGCTATGTTGCCCAGGCTGGAGTGCTTCACAGGTGCAAGCATAGCACACTTTTGTGCTCAAGCAATACTTCTGCTTCGTCTTCCAAGTAGCTGGGAAACGGGCATACACCACTTTACCTGCCATTGATGCTAACTAAGCTTTGATGAAGAAATAGTAAATTTAAAACAATATGAGAAGAAGATTAGGGTCAAACCCCTTCAAAAATTCTATCAAAATGCAAATATTAACCTTGTAGAAACTAACTAAAAAATGGTTCAATCCATTGGTTTCTGGGGATATGAGACATGAAAAACATCAAGGGTTTTGGGAAGGCTTGGGAGTTCCCTGTATCTTGATATTGGTGATGAGTACACATGTGTAGACATACAAAAAATTCATCAATCTGTATACTGAGATATGTGCCTTTTACCACATGTAAATTATACTACAATAAAAATTATGATCCAAGTAAAAATATCAAAAATTCTGGACTTTAAAAATGAACTGGCAAAAAGATAAGATAAATATTCAGAGGGGAAATAATGAAAATGCATGAAACCAGAGAAATACAGGAAACTGTGGAAGCAGGTGGCTGCTGTAGTGGATCTGGGGCTCTTATGGTCTAGAACTTCAGAACTGATGGATTGTATGTTATAGAGAGTACAGCCCACAGCACACAGAAAGTTTCAGATCAAGATGCTGGCCTTTGGTAGGCTGAGGTGAGAGGATTGCTTAAGCCCAGGAGTTCAAGACCAACCTGGGCAACATAGAGAAACCTTGTCTCTGCAAAAAAATTGTAAAACTTAGCCAGGTGTGGTGGTCCCAGCTATGTAGAAGGCTAAGGTGAGAGGATTTCTTGGGCCCAGAAGTTCAAGGTTGCAGTGTGCCATGATCACACCACTGCACTGTAGCCTGGGTGACAAAGCAAGACTCTGTCTCAAAAAAAAAAAAAAAAAAAAAGAAAAGAAAGAAGATACTTAGAAATCCCTCAATTTAAGGATGACTATTTCCCTGAAACTTTCTAAGGGAAATCGCATAAGTCTTGACTCTCAGTGAAGAAAAAAACAATCAAGCCCATGCCTTTAAACACTGCAGTAAACCTGAGCTCATAACAGAAATTTACAAACACATGAGGAAAAATGATACGATAACCAAGTTGACTGTAAACAGTAGTTTCAGCCCATAAAAAGATTAAATGCTAGAATTAAATAATATAAATATATAAAATATGTTTTTAAAGGAAAGAGAAATTTAAAATATGAGGTAAAAACGAGAATATTTTAATTTTGATTTTTTTGCATATATATATATATATATATTTTTTATTACACTTTAGGTTCTGGGGTACATGTGAAGAACATGCAGGATTGTTGCATAGGTACAGACATGGCAATGTGGTTTGCTTCCTCCATCCCCATCACCTATATCTGGCATTTCTCCCCTTGTTATCCCTCCCCAACTCCCTACCCCCTGCTGTCCTTCCCCTAGTCCCCCCGACAGACCTCAGTGTGTGATGCTCCCCTCCCTGTATCCATGTGTTCCCGTTGTTTGATACCCGCCTATGAATGATAACATGTGGTGTTTGATTTCTGTTCTTGTGTCAGTTTGCTGAGAATGATGGTTTCCAGGTTCATCCATGTCCCTACAAAGGACATGAACTCATCATTTTTTATGGCTGCATAATATTCCATGGTGTATATGTGCCATATTTTCCCTGTCCAGTCTATCATCGATGGGCATTTGGGTTGGTTCCAGGTATTTGCTATTGTAAACAGTGCTGCAATGAACATTCGTGTGCACGTGTCCTTATAGTAGAACGATTTATAATCCTTTGGATATATACCCAGTAATGGGATTGCTGGGTCAAGTGGAATTTCTATTTCTAGGTCCTTGAGGAATCGCCACACTGTCTTCCACAATGGTTGAACTAATTTACACTCCCACCAACAGTGTAAAAGTGTTCCTATTTCTCCACATCCTCTCCAGCATCTATTGTCTCTAGATTTTTTAATGACTGCCATTCTAACTGGTATAAGATGATATCTCAATGTAGTTTTGATTTGCATTTCTCTAATGACCAGTGATGAGCATTTTTTCATATGTTTGTTGGCCTCATATATGTATTCTTTAGAAAAGTGTCTGTTCATATCCTTTGCACACTTTTGAATGGGCTTGTTTTTTTCTTGAAAATCTGTTTTACTTCTTTGTAGATTCTGGATATAAGTCCTTTGTCAGATGGGTAGACTGCAAAATTTTTTTCCCATTCTGTTGACTGCCAGTTCACTCTAATCTAATGATTGTTTCTTTGACTGTGCAGAAGCTCTGGAGTTTAATTAGGTCCCATTTGTCTATTTTGGCTTTTGTTGCCAATGCTTTTGGTGTTTTGGTCATGAAGTTCTTGCCTATGTCCTGAATGGTTTTGCCTAGGTTTATTATGGTATTAAAAAACCTAGGGTTTTTATGGTATTAGGTCTTATGTTTAAGTCTTTAATCCGTCTGGAGTTAATTTTAGTGTAAGGTGTCAGGAAGGGGTCCAGTTTCTGCTTTCTGCAAATGGCTAGCCAGTTTTCCCAACACCATTTATTAACCCGGGAATTCTTCCCCATTGCTTGTTTTTGTCAGGTTTGTCAAAGATCAGATGGTTGTAGATGTGTGGTGTTGCCTCGAGGCCACAGTTCTGTTCCATTGGTCTATATCTCTGTTTTGGTACCAGTACCATGCTGTTGTGATTACTGTAGCCTTGTAGCATAGTTTGAAGTCAGGTAGTGTGATGCCTCCAGCTTTGTTCTTTTTGCTGGAGGCATCAAAGAATTGACTTGACTATGTGGGCTCTCTTTTGGTTCCATATGTTTAAGATGGTTTTTTCCAGTTCTGTGAAGAGGGTCATAGGTAGCTTGATGGGGATAGCACTGAATCTGTAAATTACTGTGGGCAGTATAGCCATTTTCACAATATTGATTCTTCCTAACCATGAGCATGGAATGTTTATCCATCTGTTTGCGTCCTCTCTTATTTCTTTGAGCAGTGGTTTGTAGTTCTCCTTGAAGAGGTCCTTTACATCCTTTGTTAGTTGTATTCCTGGGTATTTTATTCTCTTTGTAGCAATTGTGAATGGCAGTTCGTTCTTGATTTGGCTTTCTTTAAGTCTTTTATTGGTGTATAGGAATGCTTGTGATTTCTGCATATTGATTTCTGTATCCTGAGACTTTGCTGAAGTTGCTTATCAGTTTGAAAAGATTTGGGGCTGAGATGATGGGGTCTTCCAAATATGCAATCATGTCGTCTGCAAAAGAGACAATTTGACTTCCTCCTTTCCTAGCTGAATACCCTTTATTTCTTTTTCTTGCCTGATCGCTCTGACTAAAACTTCCAATACTATATTGAATAGGAGTGGTGAGAGAGGGCATCCTTGTCTAGTGCCAGATTTCAAAGGGAATGCTTCCAGTTTTTGCCCATTCAGTATGATACTGGCTGTGGGTTTGTTGTAGATAGCTTTTATTATTTTGAGATACATTTTGTTGATACTTAGCATAAAGGGCTGTTGAATTTTGTCGAAGGCCTTCTCTGCGTCTATTGAGATAATCATGTGGTTTTTGTCTTTGGTTCTGTTAATGTGGTGAATTACGTTTATAGACTTGCGTATGTTGAACCAGCCTTGCATCCCCAGAAGGAAGCCTACCTGATGGTGATGGATAAGCTTTTTGATGTGCTGTTGCAATTGGTTTGCCAGTATTTTATTGAAGATTTTTGCATCTATGTTCATCATGGATGTTGGCCTGAAGTTTTCTTATTGAGTCTCTGACTGGTTTTGATATCAGGTTGATGCTGGTCTCATAAAATGATTTGGGAAGGACTCCCTCTTTTTGGGAATTGTTTGGAATAGTTTCAGAAGGAGTGGTACCAGCTCCTCTTTGTATGTCTGGTAGAATTTGGCTGTGAACCCATCTGGACCTGGGCTTTTTTAGGTTGGTAGGCTATTAATTGCTGCCTCAAATACAGCCTTTTATTGGTCTATTCAGGGTTTCAACTTCTTTCTGGTTTAGGCTTGGGAGGATGCAAGTGTCAAGGAATTTATCCATTTTTTCCAGGTTTGCTGGTTTATGTGCGTAGAGTTGTCTGTAGTAATCTCTGATGGTAGTTTGGATTTCTGTGGAATCTATGGTGATATCCCCTTTATTGATTTTTATTGCATCTATTTGATTATTCTCTCTTCTCTTTTTTTATTAATCTGGCTAATGTTCTATTTTGTTGATCTTTTAACAAAAACCAGCTCCTGAGTTTATTAGTTTTTCGAAGGGGTTTTTGTGTGTCTGTCTCCTTCAGTTCTGCTCTGACCTTAGTTATTTCTTGTCTTCTTCTAGCTTTTGAGTTTTCTTGATCTTGCTCCTCTAGCTCTTTCAATTTTGATGACAGGGTGTCGATTTTAGAGCTTTCCTTGCTTCTCTTGTGGGCATTTATTGCTATAAATTTTCCTCTATACACTGATTTAAATGTGTCCCAGAGATTCTGATAGATTGTGTCTTTCTTCTCACTGGTTTCGAAGAACATCTTTATTTCTGCCTTCATTTCATTGTTTATCCAGTCAACGTTCAAGAGCCTGTTGTTCAGTTTCCATGAAGTTGTGGGGTTCTGAGTTAGTTTCTGAATTCTGCATTCTAATTTGATTGCCCTGTGGTCTGAGAGACTGTTTGTTATGATTTCCCTTCTGTTGCATTTGCTGAGGAGTGACTTACTTCCAGTTTTGTGGTCACTTGTAGAGTAGGCATGATGTGGTGCTGAGAAGAATGTATATTCTGTGGATTTGGGGTGGAGAGCTCTGTAGATGTCTATTAGGTTTGCTTGGTCCAGATCTGAGTTCAAGTCCTGGATATCCGTGTTAATTTTCTGTCTCCTTGATCTGTCTAATA